CTGGGCACCGAGATGATCGTCACCAAGGCAGGCAGGTCAGTGCGGAGCTCCCGAGCGGCCCCGGCTCTCCAGCCGCTCCCTCCGGACCCGGGCACTCAGGCCAGCCGGGGCGGCAGGGTCCGGCCGCGGGTGGTTGAATTCGCAGTTTGGGGGAAAACTGAGGCTGCCAAAGGGCGAGTCGCGGAGCGGCCCGGCCCAGCGGTGGCCGTCATTTGATCCTGGCGCTTCTGTCGGGGCGAAATGTGCCGGCTCTTGCGGCCCGAAGGCCTCGAGTGCTGCGGGCAGAACGCGCGGGTGCTGCGGGCTGGCGGCGAAGGCGTGCGGAGGACGGCGGGCAGGGCGCTGGGTTTCACTCCCGCTGGAAAGGGCGCTGTGCTCCTCCGGGCGCCTTCGGCTGCCGGTGATCCCGCACGGGACTTCGATCCATGTCGGACGACAGTGTGTGCTGCGGGGGCGGACAGCAGTGGCACGGGGAAAAGACAAATGGAATTCTCGAACGCTGCAATACCTGCTAAATGCATGTTGTAGCACGGGTAGATCTTTTCCTTCCGGCGAGGACGCGAACAGACCCTAATTCTGCACCTTGAACCGTGTTCCAGGGCTGTTGCATTTCCCGATTATCGAGTAACGAGCCCGGCTGAGCCCAGCTCTTCTCGGCCCTGCTCCGGCCGCCGCGGTGCGGTTCCGGGGCCAGGACCCCGCTGCCGGCCGGGGAACAAAGGAAGCGGCCGATGCGATCGCGTTAGAAACGAGCAAAACGTGGGGGGGAGAGGAGCCCCAATTACGGTTGTTAATTATTGCATTTAATGGAGATCCCCGAGAAACTCCGCGGCTGCGGCGGCTCGGGCAGAGCTGCGGAGCTTTCCCCGCCAGGCTCCGGGCAGAACTGCCTTCTGGGGGAGCGAGCGCATTGTTCGGGCTCTGACTCTTCCCCCGTTTAAAACGATCCGGCGGGGAGGGAGAAAAGAAAACCAAACAAATTAAGGAATCCCCCGGTGCTCGCTCCAGTTGTGCCCGGGGCTGGCTGCGGCGGGATGGCCGGGGGCGCGGGCCGGACTCTGCTCCGAACGGCCCGGTAGGAGCGGTGACCGCCGCCGCGGGCTCCTGCTCTCCCGCCAGCGGTTTTGAGGGTCCCGAAAGTGCAAAAAAAGAAACATATTATCATGCACACAGTCATTTTGGTTTGGGTTTTTTGGTTTGGGTTTTTTTTGTGTGTGTGTGGTTGGATTTTTTGGAGTTTTTTTTGTTGTGTTGTGGTTTTTTTTTTAATTTGCAATTGACTGAAACGGAAGGTGCCCGGTGCAGAAGCAGCCGGTGCCGCGCTGCGGGACCCCGGGCGGCATTTCCCGCAGACGGTGCCTGCCCCGGCGCCGGCCCGCGCGCTGCGCTGTCTCCGGCCGCGGCCCCTGAGCCCGGCGCCGTGCTCGGCCGTGCTTTCCTTTGCGGAAAAGGTCGTTCAGACTCCAGGCAGAGGCTCTCTGCAAACAGGAGCTCTTCGATCTGGCTTTCTTCGCTCTCCCAGAACAGCGGAAGGATTGCAAATACCCCACTTCAAAAGGGCTCGAAAATTAACCAACTCCATTTGAATCAGGCTTCTACCCTGCCTTTCTTCGCTTGTTTTATGGCACCGTCGAATCTCCAGACAGGCGAGTAAAAACAGAAGAAAACGGAGAAAACCAGCAGGAAAAGGCTGAGGGAAGGCGCTGCTAAGCCTGTTCTCTCCCAGCCTCTCTGGGCTGACCCTGCTGTTTGTCTAGATGGGTGTTATCATCTCAGGTTGTTTGTTTTAAAACTAAGTTTTAAAACAAGAAACACCGGAACTGGAGCTAATGGGGGCTTTTACACGTTTAAAAATAATAATAACAGAGGGAACGACTGGAAACGTCCTCCAGAGTTTGCTAAAGCGTTACAGGGAGGGAGACGCAGCCGCCCGATCCTGATGCAGCCCGGCAGTGCCGGGCCCGGACTGGAAGAGCTGCGGAGCCAGAGGCGCGCTGCCCCATCGTCCTGCCGGGCGGCCTTTCCTCCGCGGGGAGCAGCGGCACATAACAAAAAAAAAACCGGGAAGACGCACAGCAGGTCCGGCCGTGCGCTCCGAGAACGGGCCGGGGGGGACTCTCGATGTCCGGGTTTGATCGGGTTGTTTGTTTAGGGGATGTTGGGAATTTGGTTTTTCAACGGCTGCAAATCCCCTTCCCGCAATACTGCCCGCTGTCGCTCGCTTGATTTTCTACTCGGTAAAACAAAACCGAAGCCATAACGAGCCCCGACGCCAGGACACATCTTCGGCGTGTCCCGCCGGGGCCTGTCCGCGGTGTGCGCAGATGGAGGAGGGAGAGACGGGCGGGCCGTCCCGGCCCCTGCCCATAGCCCACCGCAGATAGCATTTGTTCCGCAGCCCCTCGAAGGAATCGTGCCCTCCCTGAGCGTGGGATCCGTGTCCCGGCTTAGCATGGGGTCCCCGGGGACCTCCGCAGAGCCGAACGGGGAGGGGCAGCCCCGGGGCTCCCTCTGCCCTGCCCGGGAGCCCTGGGCTCCTTCCCGCTCTCCTTTCACCCCGCAAAGGTGCGGGAACAGGGGCCCGCCTGGGCTCTCACAACGAAGTGGAGCCGGGACGGGATTTTCTGGGAGATCCCTGTTGCTCTCTAGTCCTTGCCCGCCGAAGGGGAGCGTTCACCCCTCCGTGCTGCGGGAGGTCTCCCGCTGGCCCCGAGGGCCACGGGGCTGCTGTAACCGCTGCTTTCAAACGGGCACAGTTTGGGGGGTACAGAAGCTGCAGAATTGGAAACTCCCATCACCTCGTGTCGTTCTCAGGAGTTTCTAGATGTGCCCCCAAGGGCTGCCCGGGACTCCCGAGGCTCTGTTCCCAGCTCGGGTGTGGGTCCGCAGACAGGGTAGTGCCTTGCATCTGCGTCCAGTCAGGTCAGCTGAAAGGATGGGGAAATCATGGGGAAGAAATTCTTTTCACTAGGGTCTCCCCATCGCAAAGGCAGAGGAGGCACTTGTTCCCCCCCCCCGGTGTCTGTGTTCCACCGCGGCGGGGCATTCCGGGTGTCCGACACAAACGGTCCTGGAGCCGGCGGGAGAGGCAGGACCGCTCCAGCTCACCCTCTGGGATGCTGCCGAGGGCTGGGGAACACGGCAGCCCCTCTCCTCATGCTGCCCGGGTGCTCTGCGTCTTCCTCCAGCCAGCTGTTCCTGTGAGGGTCCTGTCATCGCAGCCAGGCGGGCATTGGAGCAGAGGGAGGGGAAGGGTACCCATGCCGGCCCCTCAGGGCTCCCCGCTGCTCCTCAGCTGAGCACTTCTCTCTCTCCTCTCTGCCAGGCGCATGTTCCCCACCTTCCAGGTGAAGATATTCGGCATGGACCCTATGGCTGACTACATGCTCCTCATGGACTTCGTTCCCGTAGACGACAAGCGATACCGGCAAGTAACACCCTGCCCGCCCGGGTTCTCAGCGCTGAGGGCTGGTGGGTCACTGCCCACCTGCTGAGGGGTGGTGGGTCACTGCCTGCCCCCTGCCCCTGCCCTCCGGGGTGCGTGTTGGTGCGAGATGAGGAGGAGACGCAGGATGTGGCTGCCCTGGTGTCTCACACCTTTGCAACGAATCCAGGGCTGGGAGCAGCTGTACGGACCCCCCAGGGCCCCCCTGGGCCTTCACACGAGGCCGGCAGGCGGCCGAGGCCAGAGCAGCGCGGGCAGAAGGGCAGGTTTCCACAGGGTGCAGGGCAGGAGCTGCCTTGTCCTGCCCAGAAAAGCTTTCCTTGTTGCACTGCTACACGCCTCCACCCCGCAAGCACACATTACCCCTTGACAAAAATCCTCCCGGTGCTCCTTGAGTGCTGTAGCCTCTCAGTGGGTGTCCCCGGGCTCTGCCATGCTCTCTTGGGAGCCCACTGGGTGCTTGGGCGAAGAGAGTGGGTTTTGTGCTCTGGAAAGGCATTGGCCACCCGAGCCACAAAACCCTGCCCTTGTTTTCAGTGGCAGAGTAGGAAGGCCTTGGAAACTGGCGACTCACAGGGCAGCGATGCAGTCTGGTTTGGAAGCCCTTTAATTTTTAAGACAGTGAAAGGTGCATTATGTATTTAGCTTCAGATCAGGACGCCGAGCAGGCAGCCCGCATAGGAATCGCAGGGTCCGATATATAAATATTTAGACAGATATCCAAATTCTCAGGGCGTCCTAGAAATGTTTGCTTGTCAAGGGAAGTGGGATATATAACATCCAATTGAGTATATCTTTAAAAAGTAATGTTTCTGCTCAAGTCCAATGGTGTCTAATTCCCCCTGTGCAAACACTGGCTTTTAAAGTAAACACGTGTATAGAAGATTGGTTTCTCTGTTTTAAATGTTACTGTTGAATATGTACTTTGAAAGAATGAAACAAGGCTGCTAAATTCTGGACCTGCTATTAATCTACACACAACCTTCCACTCTTCACTTAAAGCCAGAACATTACTGTATAGAGGGCTCTCTTTCACCCTTTTTTTAGAGGAAGGGAGAGCTTCTGTGGCTTCTCTCTCAAATCTACATGGATAGCTATAAATTTCCTCCATCCCACAGATTTCTCTCACGCCAGTTCCATCGGCAACCTGATAAAATATTCTCTCTCCCCTGCAGCAAGTCTGGCTGCAGAGAAGAGCTCGTTCCCCCCGTGGCCGTAGGATGCAGCAGTGATGGGGAGGCAGCACTTCCCCCTCACTGGGCTGCGGGTGCTGCAGGGGCGTGGGAGGGACCCCCCCGGGCCACGGCTGAGGGTGCCTTCCCTCCCGCAGGTACGCCTTCCACAGCTCCTCCTGGCTGGTGGCCGGCAAAGCCGACCCCGCCACCCCCGGGAGGGTCCATTACCACCCGGACTCCCCGGCCAAAGGGGCGCAGTGGATGAAGCAGATCGTTTCCTTTGATAAGCTCAAACTGACCAACAATTTGCTGGACGACAACGGGCATGTAAGTGTTCCCGGGAGAAGGTGTCCAACACCGGGCTGCAGCGGGGGGATCTCCCCGTGCCGTGATCCCCGTGGGGGATCCCTGCCCGTTCCCCTCATCAGGGCTCCGCGCCCCGACCCCGCCCCAGCCCCGCGACTGCCCCGGGCAGGGGAGCCGGCAGGGCCGGGCTGCGCTCTCCTCTCTCCATGCTCCGCCTGGATCAGTTATTGTCTCCTTGCTCATTTTATCATTCAGATCATTTTGAACTCCATGCACAGATACCAGCCGCGTTTTCACGTGGTCTATGTGGACCCCCGGAAAGACAGCGAGAAATACGCGGAGGAGAACTTCAAAACCTTCGTCTTCGAGGAGACACGTTTCACAGCCGTGACCGCCTACCAGAACCACAGGGTGAGGCAAAAGGGCCGGGGCAGCCGAAAGGGGGGGTTGGGGTCGCCCCACAGGTACTGTGGGTGTGGGTGCTCCCGACGCTGGAGGCCGGGCTGTGTGTCCGGGGGCTGTCTGGGGGTACTCCCACCTCCTCCTCCCCATCTGCTAAACCCATTCCGGGGCAGCGCCAGGAACCCGATAGCCGGGGGGCTGTGCAGAGCTGCATCTCTGCATGCCGAGGAAGCGACGTGGGCTCCAGCCCCATCGCCAGCTTCTCCCTGCCCGGGGGACCTCATTACCTATGTAAACCCGAGACTGGGGCTAGTGGGGGAACTACAGGCCTCCTGCTGTGAAATGTCACTCACAATTTGTTTGGATAAATTTGCGATTTTACTACTCTAAGCTTGTAGCTGTCTGTTCCCCCCCAGAATACATTTATATGTTAAAAACGAAACAAAACACCCCCACACCCCCACCCCAATCTGATGCGGATTTCTAGGCAGCAGTTAATCCAACTGCTCCTTTAAATTGCACCAGTGTGATGTAAGGAGCAGGAATCCCAGCGGCGAGCGCAAATACGATTTCCAGCGGGGACTTTTCCGCACCGCCCCAAGTCCCCGGACCGCTCCAGCCACCTGGCTCTGCGCTGGTGCTGCCGCCCGGGCCGGGGCTGGGTCCCGGAGCTGGGTCCCGGAGCTGTGCCCAAGCAGCCGGCGGCAGTGCCACCCTCTGCAGTGGCTCTGAGCAGACCGACCCGAGGTCTCCCCGCGATGCTGCGGTCCGGCCGCACCTCGCCCCGCAGAGGCCAGAGCAAGGCTGTGCCTTTAAGGGGCTGAGGAGTCCTCCCCGGCTGGCATTTGCCTGATGGCTCCGGACAGCTGCTCTTTCTCTCCTGCTTTCTATCAGTTTGACCTCTAAGGCTGGAACTGTCACTGAGGGGCTTAAAGTTTGTTTTTCAACCCATTCCGGAAACTCACAATCACATACTTTATCCATGGATTTGCTTAAATATAGAAAATGTCCTGCCTTCTCCCCGGTGAATTAAATAAATACATAAGTATGATTTATCCAGTGATTTGTCTTAGCTGCTCCAGTGGTGACCCATATAATGTGGCATTTTCTTACAAGTGCGTTTACTCAGCTTTTGCAGCCAATTCAGGCTGCCTCTCCCTTCACCTTGAACTCATATTAGGTAGCATGTTAGCCCTCATTTTCTAACAGAGAAAGCACACGATTGTGCTCTGTGGCTGAGCACGTCCCGGCTCCACCGGCCACCTGGACCCTCTCTGTTACAGCAGGCACTGCTGAGTCCCCAGGCCTAATCAGGGACACGTGTTCTGTCTGACCGGGGAGCCCCGTGTGCCACTCGGAGACATTTTCCCATTTCTCCTTACAGATCACACAGCTGAAGATCGCCAGCAACCCTTTTGCCAAGGGATTCAGAGACTGTGACCCTGAGGACTGGTAAGGCTGTGCCTTTATTGGCTGTGACTACACCCCACTCCTGTCCCGTTTCACGTGCACCTGCCCAGCTTACATTTGCACAAGGCCTGCAGGGAGTTTGGGAGACACTGTGTGGGGCCCCATTTGCCAGCTGCAGCTCACAGCAGCAACGTTCCAAGTGTTCTTTCCATTGGACCATTGGCTCTGTGTCACTTCTCCATTTCTTCTTCCAGGCCCAGGAACCACAGGCCAGGGGCTCTTCCTCTCATGAGTGCTTTTGCCAGATCCCGGAATCCAGTCTCTTCCCCGGCCCACCAGAATGGGACAGAGAAAGGTGAGAGCCCCCACTGGCCAGGCCAGCCCGTCACCTGGGCCCTGCTGGCCTGCACGGCCCCCACATGCATGTTCGGGGCCAGCTTTGCTCCTCATGCTGGTGCACAGCCCCACTGCTAACCAGCTTTGCACTGCTGCCCGTTTTTTGAACAAAAATAGCCACCTTCATAGCCTAATTAATTCTTGCTCGGACTACAGCACTGACTGTTGTACTCAAGCAAGTTTGCTGCTTTATAAAATACCACCCTTCGCTTTTAGTGTCCCCTTTTCGACTTTTTGGCAACAAACTCAGCTTTTCAGGCAGGGATGCAGTGCTGGCCATGGGCTCCCCCTCGCATTGCCCTTTTAATGTGCCTCGGCATCACGTTCAGGGCCCACCCGCTCCATTCAGGAGCTGCAGTCAGGTCGAACAGCACCTCTGCCCATTGACTGCTTTTCCATTACCCAGAGCAAACAACTGCAAAGACAACCGAATGCCTTTCTTCCAAAACACACTCCGGGCCTGCAAAATAAAGGGAAGTCTGTATTTATTTAGTGTTACACAATTGCAAAAATGTCAGGCGTGCACCAGCTTGTCAGTCAATTCAGCTCCATTTATCGCAGTCAGGAGGTCCCGTCCCGCCAGCCCCGCTCGCAGCGCGCCGTTCCCCCGCGCTCCTCTCCCGCGTGCCGGGATGCTGACGGTGGTCCCCCGCAGATGCTGCCGGAGCCGGCGGGAACTTCGGCGGGGGGCGGGCGGGACGGCTGCACCAGGCGGAGCCGCGCACCAGCGCTCATGTCCCGCGTTGCTCAGCCCCGCGCTGCCCGGCGGCCCCGGCGGGCTGGTGCCCGCTGTCCGGCCGGGGGCTGGCCGCCGAGCCCCCCGCCCACCACGAACTGCGCCTGGAGCCCGCGCGTCCGAGCCGCTGCACCACCACCCCTACAAGTACCCGCCGGCCGCCTTACGACCACTACCTGGGCGCCAACGGCCGGCCCGCCCCTACCCCCTGCCCAGCATCGCCGGGGCACGGCTACCACCACCACCACCAACCACCACATTGAACGCGGCGCCGCGCCGCGCGCGGCCGCCAACATGTATCGGGCCGGCCGGGGCGCCCGCGGCTACGAGTACGTGACCGCGGTAACGGGCCGCGGGACCGGCTCCGCCACGGACACGCCCGCCCGCCGCCCTCGCCTCTCGCCCCTCAGCCACCCGATTAGGCCGGCCCACCTGAATTGACGCCTGCAGCGCCCAATCGGCGGCGGCCTGGCCCACGCGGGCCGTGAGTGGCGGGGCCGCCATCGCGGACAGAGCCGTGAAGGCGGCGGTGACGTCGCGTGGTTGGACCCCCCCGTCGGGGGCCGTGAGGGCGGCGGGGCCGGACGGCCGCCATCGCGGAGAGACCGCGGCCTGCCACTGTGATAAATGAAGCCATATGTCCTTATCTCCCGGCGCCTCCGCCCGCGCGGGCACCCAGGGCCGGGGGCGGCTTGGGCAGCGGGGCGGAGGGGCGGCAGCGGCTCGTGCCCCGGGCGCTCGGCCGCGGGTGTCTGAGGGCGGTGCGGGGGTGCCGCCGGTGCGGGGGTGCCGCGGGGCCGGTCCCTCCCACTGGGCACACCGAGGCCTCGTTCGCGGGTGGCTCAGGTGGTTCTTTGAGGGCAAGGGAACGCTTGGGATCCTCACTGCCAGAACAGATTTCCCACTTCTCCTCCGGCCCTGACCCTCCCGTGAGTTCTGGGGTTCACGGGGTGCCTTAACCACAACAGCACTTTCTGGAGCTGTTGAGAAGGGCCCGTGGCCAAGAGGACAGCCACGTAGGTGTGTCTTGTTTTCACAACAACAGATGCAAAGGTTTAAAAACCAGCCTGGGGGGGCACCTGCAGGGTTTAGGCTGTGTGTTCTCACCCCTTCCCAGGCAGCCCCACACTCCTGCCTTCCTGCGGCCTTTCCCGAGCTCTTGATACTCTCCTGTGGAGGTGCCTTTTAGAGGGACTTCAGGGTTTTTTCTCAGTCTGCCTCACCCCTTATATTTGGCTGACCCAAACTGCAGTAATCCCAAAGCACCCGTTCTACACCTACCTGCTTCCTGCATCTCCCCTCTTAATGCTGGTAAGTACTTTTTTCTTCTTCCTTTAATATCCTCCTTCAGTAGTCGTTCGTTGCTGTTGAAGGGATGGCCCTGTTCATCACAGTTTCTCCGGTGATGTGTTTGGAGTAGTTGGTTTCTGTTTTCAGATGCTCACCGAAGGCAGTCCCTTTGTGTTCAGAGAAGGTTTTGAGCAGCTCCTAAGCTGTGTTGGCATACAGTATTATGAACACTTTTCTGATTCTTCTATGTGACTCTATGAAAAGAAGGGGTTTATGTTTTTTTAAAAGTCCTCTATTCACCCATGTTTGTGCATTTTCATTACAAACCCTTTAAAACGTGTTCTTTCCCTTGTGCAGGTGGCAGTGTTAATAGCAATGTTTATTTTGTCTCTGGCAGTGGGCTTTGGGCTTCCAAAACTTTTTTGAAGGGTTTAAGAAGGGATACAGGCTACCATTAATATTTTATGTAATTTTTTTTTCTGTTTAAAAAAATATATCTGGATCCATGAAAAAGTCTTGTGCAAGAAATATGTATTTTATTTGACATTTGCAGTGAATTTTGAGGTTCTTAGTGTCTGACTAAACCATAATTAATGTTCTCAGAAAGGTTGATGTCAAATAACCTTGTGCTTATTATTAGTCAGTGGGAAATGGCTCTCGGATGTGCTCTATTGCTTTGCCGCTGTTATTTCAGAGTTTTCACTATGATTTGTTATCTGTAAACTGATTAGTGCCAAAGCTTTGGTCAAACGTTTAATGAAGTTGTTATATTTATTATTTCTTTCAAAGATTATGCAAACACTTTTTTTTCTTAATAGTTGGAGCATAGGAAAAAAAGTGAAGACAACCAAAGAAATCATATCTGCAAACAGTGTAGATACATGTAGATATTTGTAGATATATGTAGATAATCTTATTTCATTTAAATTGAAAAGACATTGGACAGTGACATTTATAAATATTTTTCCTCTTCTTTCTTTCCTTCACTTCTTGTTTGATTATTTGTGTATATTTGTCAGTTTGTCTGCTCTGAAGTATAAACCTCCCCTACAAAATGAGGTCATTTAAATAAGGAGGGATTTTAGTGTGAGCAAACAGTGACTCTCCTGGGTCATTCCTCCCTCCCTGCCGTCCCTGGCTGCCCCAGCTGTGCGTGGTTGTGGTGATCTGTCACCACCCAACAGCTTGCAAGGTTGGGGTTCCCAGGTGGAAACAGATCTGTTTGTTTTGGTAAGCACTGTTTTCTTTAAACACACCGAGAGCAACCCAAGGTGCCAGGACTAAGCTGTGCTCTTACCAAAGGTGGCTCAAGGTCCTTGTCTTGACTGTAGGAATTTTAATTTTCTCTTTGTTGGAAGAGAAGATCACAGATCCTCAACCCATGGCTGTGGGCAGTGGGCCCTTTAGGATCACTGGTCTGTCCTCTGTGCTAAAGATCCACTACAGAAGTCCTGGGGCTGAATGGGAAGGGGGGAACCGGCAGCTGTGTCAAGGCTACAGTCTGAACTATGAAAATGGTACCTCCAGCCTTGCTTTTAGGCCATGAACATGCAAGGTCCTTAGGTATATTAGCATGAAACATATTAGCAGTCCATTTCTTCTCATGGTTTAATCCTTAAATCAAGATTCCTTGGGATTTTGACCAGTGTCCCTCCTTCCATTGCTGTGTCCATCTCATGGAAGGAAGTGTTACAGATATGGAAAGCAAAAAGGGTTATTTTTCTATCACAACAAAAAATCCCCTTCAAACAAACACAAACCCCATAACTGCACATTGACCAGTAGAAGCGTTTTGAAAGTCACAGAAAATGTGTAACACTTTAATTTCAGATTGGTCGCCTGTCAGCCAATTAGTGAAAATATAGTCAAGCCTTATCTGTGTATTGCAGGTTCATTTGGCAAATGACTTTGTATGATTTGCTTACATGTCTGGTTAAACTTCACTCAGTACACACTGTCACCAAGGCCCACAGCACATTTTTGGGAAGAAGGCGGCACTATTTCCAGACAATGCTTCCACTTGTGTCACCTCAAGTCACACGGAACACGGTGTTTGAAAGCTGCTGGTAAAACAGGCCCCAGCACGGAGGGCACAAGCACCCTTTGTCTCTTCCAAACAGGGCTAGAGAATAAATTAGCCGCGTAGCTCTATTTTCCAGAGGTAAACGCTGAGTTTACTGATTGCTCCAGAGGTCTGAAAACCGCATCACTTAGCTCAGTGGATAAATACAGGATTAGGCTGGTGAAACAAGGGCGGCTTTGGTTTGATCACTTACCCCAAACACAGTTTTCAGAAATGGCTTTTTGCTGTTGTTGGTTTTATTTTTTCCATGCTAGTGGATCTGACTAACCTCAGTGTAGGATAGGAGCATGGGGATGAGACTTGTGTGTGCTTGTGGTGGTCATGCACACTGTTTACACAGTTCATGGATATTCACTTCAGTCTTTCCTCCTCTTTGGGGAAATCCCAGAAGTGCTTTGGCTAGAACTGTGAAGGTGGTCCCCAGCAGATCCCTCTCAGCATCCTGGGGTGTTGGCATCTCTTCAGTCAGTCCCAAGCACATGTACACATGTTACTCCCATGGCCATGGCTAGGGGAGTAACTGCTTTGGCTTCCTTTGTTGGACAGTGTGTGTAAGAGTTGCTTGCAGAGTGGAGGATGACTCGAGGACTGCAGTAAGCATAAAAAGGTGTTCTGCAGGCACCAGGCTGCTGGGGCACTGGGGGTCTGCCGTGAGCTAGGGGCTCGCAGTGCACCCCTCCAGAGGAGCTGTGGCTCAGGGCCCCCTCGGCTGGAGTGCTGTCCTTCCCCCGGACAGACCTCCTGCTGTCCAGTGAGTGCATGTCAGCCCGTGGCACTGGATCCCTCACCAAGGGGCAGTCACACCTCCATCTGGACTGGAAGGGATAAGAAGAGCAGGTTCAGTCGTGCTGTGTAATGTTCTGCCAGTGTAAAGTAGCCGCTGGAAGCGAGTTAGGCACCCACAGGTTAGGGTTGGGGGTGGAAGGTGAGCCCTGCTGCCCGGAGGAGTCAGGAGGAGCAAACGCAGCAGTACCTGCAGAGCAGGTTTCAGCACCTTCAGCCGAGGAGCTCCAAAAGCTGCCGTGAGCCCGTCGAACTGGGCTGGAGGGGCCCGAGCGTGTGTGCCACGGCCGTGCTACTGCTCGGTCTTTGCCCTCGCTCGTGTTCCTGCTGGGCTGCAAGAAAGGCGCTTTCGCTGCAGCACGTCTGGGGCCGCGGGGGCTCCGGGCGGACCCGCGGGGCTCCGGGCGGACCGCCGTTCGTCGGGCACTGCCAGTGCAGGTGGGGAGGCCCTGGTGTGCCCCGGGTCAGCCGGGGCCCCGCGGGTACCGGGCAGGACTCGCCCCGAGGAGGAGGATGCTGCGCTCGCTGCGGCCCGCCCTGCCTGAAGAGCCGGCTCCCTCCAGAGGGAAGAGCCGGGCATGGCACGCCGTGGGTCCTGCCCGCGCGGAAAACGAGTCCTGGGAGAGCTTTTGCAGAGCTTGCGAATACGCAATGGGAGAGGAAAATATAGATTCGTTTTATAAAGCAAAGAATGGATCTTTGGGGCACGCAGGCATAGTCGAAGAGGGGCAGTAACCTGTGAGTGAGACTCAGCCAGCAATGGTTCAGCTCTTGCTATAAGCTGGTGTTAGGAAGAGTCCAGTCTGCTCGTGTACAGGGCAGTACGTGTGTATGAATGCAACGTTTTTCTAAATGTATGCATTTATTTTCTTCATTTAATTATTCTAATTAAATTAGTCGGTAAGATATTTAATTTACACTGGTGTTTGACACAACTAGATGACAGTGACCGTACCCCAAGATTTCTGTTACTGCCGTTATGAGCACAGCACGTGCACATAAAACTGTTACAGTGGGACACCCTGCAGGGACACTGCCTGTGGGAATCTGGCTCATGTATCACAGCTTCACAAATCGCCAAGAATAGTGTCATACTTTTTTTTCCTGCCCGGTATGTTGCACACACAATCAATGCAAAACCATAGATATACATTAATTTTGAAGAACACAGACATGACACATATACACTGTGTGTGTTTGTGCTCTCTGAAGCCCCACTGTCTGTGTAAAGTACTGTGTGTGTTGCATATGCCAGAAAAAACGCACTCCTTCCCCTCCATTAATA